AGGGCAGCAGGACAGCCACGGCGCATCTGGGCTGTCCCGCTGCCCCCGTGCTCCGCGGCTTTGCTCCAGATGCCTGTGGTACAGCAGCTGGAGCACTTCCGGTTGGTGCTGTAGCGCCGGTCTGGGCGCTACTGGACCAACCCGGCAGCACCCTAGCTGTTCTGCCCCATGCGTCCTGGCTGACTACAGGAAGCCCCTGCCCCAGGCTTCCTGGAATCAGCCGCTGATCAGTTTCAACAGCAGCTGACTTGAGGATGCCTGGGGTTCTTAAGTTGAATCTGTATGTAAGTCAGAACTGGCATCCAGATTCAGCCGCTGTTGAAACCGACTTACATACAGATTCAACTTAAGAACAAACCTACAGTCCCTATCTTGTACGTAACCCGGGGACTGCCTGTAGTCAGCAGCTGCAAGGGAAGTGGGGAAAGTAGTAAGAGTGACACATGGAAGGAGAAAGACAATGAAGCAAGGCAGTCTGCTTTACCTGTCCTGAGATGGTAATGGACTGAATGCACTTTCCAAAGTTAGCCAGGAAAAATTACCGTTTAGATAAAGACAAATATGTATTCGGACCCTTGTTCTAACCCTTGTTTCTGACTGCTCTGTATGTATGGGTGAATAAATAACTAAATGCTTATTTTCAATAAGTTGGTTTTAGTCACAGTTGGGTTGCCATCTGTCCAGGTTTCCCCAAGATTCTTCCTGTTTGAAATAGCAGTTCCAGGAAATCTATAATGTTTCTCGGCACGCTGTGCCAGCTGTCTAGTTATATGGGCTCAGTTTCATCTAGGATGTCCCTTTCTTTGTACCTCAGAGGTGGCAACCCTAGGTTGCAGGCTCCTGGAGCAAAAGGGTTTACAGGTGTTAAGCACAACTGGGTTGGTCAGGTTAACATAGTGTTCAATTTCAGTTGTAATTACTTACTTCAGAAATCTTGAGTCAAGAGGTGTTTGTCTGAGCTGCAGAATATATCTTATTTGTTGTACTTCTTTAACAATCTATGTATCCATTTTCAAGGTAGGATAGATGAACTGAAAAATAACATGGTGCTCTTTATTTTTGTTAGACCTTTTCGCTCAGAAAATTCTGACAGCTGATTCTGAAAACATGTAGAAAACATAAGGTATAGCTAACACTAAGAGGGGAATAGTTATTTGATTATGGTTAGGAAAAAATGTGAAGAAATAAAATTGTAAACAAAACAGAATTGCATGCAGAGTGGCACAATGTCTAATGATTCCTGCCAATCTAGCTCCTATTAATGACTTGAAATAACCTCAGTCCAGATTGTTCCCCTGACAACCCTAGATGGAGAAGATATTCTATGTCTGCATCTGCCCCTGATCTTGTAAGGAGATAGATCAAATATTTGTTTCACTGTCTCCCCGGCACTTGGCCCCACAGAGAGTACTCTATAGTGTTAGTGTCTTCACTACAGAAGATGTGATGAAAATTCCCACTCTTGAGCCATTCTTTTTAAAGTGAAAATCTGAAGAACTACCTCAAAATGAGGCATCAATAGAGGAGGTTTTGGAACAAACTGACAAGTTAAACAACAATAGCCAGGACCAGATGGAATTCATCCAAGAATTCTGAAGGAATTCACATATGAAATCGCAAAACTACCAACAGCGGTATGTAATCCAGTGCTTAAATCAGCCACTGTATGAAATGACTGGCCGATAGCTAATGTCATGCCAGTTTTTTAAGTCTCTAGAGTCAATCCCAGAAATTACAGGTGGGTAAGCCTAACTTCAGTACTGGCAAATTGGCAGAAACTACAGAAAAGAACAGAATTATCAAATGCACAGATGAAGAGTCAACATAGCTTTCAAATGGTATCCTGAAATAACTTTGCTGTGTAGACATACCGAAAGGGAAATCATGCCTCACCAATCTATTTGAATTTTTTGATGGTCAATAAACTTGTGGATAAGAGTGACCTAGTACATATAGTGTACTTAGCCTTTCAGAAAGCCTTTGACATGCACTTTCACCAAAAGCTTTTAAGCAAATCAATAAATCAAGAGATAAGGCCTCAAGTGCCTTCCAGTGTCTGAATCTGCAATCTGTTTTCTGCTTCTGGCATCCCCGGTAGGTTGCCCCCAAAGTACTTCATATAATAGCACTGAAGCTCAAGACAAAAGCAAGAAAATGTACTGTAGGGAATAATTTTGCAGTGGCTCGAAGGAGGTGGATTGAACAATCTAATGCAAGGGCTCTCATACATTTGCATAGACCTCACGTTAATAAAACTGTGTTTGTGGACAACCACCTTCCCATTTGTGATCTTGCAATATTGCTAAAATAAAATCATTTCATGTATTATTTATTGTGATTTGCTCTCCTGGCTTTTCATGCCATTCATAAAAAGGTTAATGTTCAAAAAGTGAGAATCCCCTTTTTTGTGAATCTACGTATCTCCAAAAGACCTCGTCTACTATGCCTTAAATATTCCAGAAATGTGCTATTCCAGCCTACAAACCCTATTTGTGAAATGTCAGTTTTGCTTTGCCCAAATTAGAAGTGGAGTTAGTGTTACGCTTATAATAACTGCCTCCACTGCAGTTAGACAAGAAACTAGCATAGTGATAGAAATGTAGCCGTGTTAGTCTGATGCAGCTGAAACAAAAAACAGGACTGTGTAGCACTTTAAAGACTAACAAGATGGTTTAATAGGCGATGAGCTTTCGTGGGCCAGACCCACTTCCTCAGATCAAATAGTGGAAGAAAATTGTCACAACCATATATACCAAAGGATACAATTAAAAAAATGAACACATATGAAAGGACAAACCAAATTTCAGAACAGAAGGGGGATGGAGGGGGGGAAGAGGGGGAGGTAAATGTCTGTGAGCTAATGATATTAGAGGTGATAATTGGGGAAGCTATCTTTGTAATGGGCAAGATAATTAGTGTCTTTATTCAACTAGCAGTGTGTGTTAGACTGAGACATGATTACTAGCTAGTCAATAAAGGAAGACAGATAGAAATGGGGATGAGCACAAAGTAGCACTGTGTTCCTTCTCATTGCAGATTTCATGTGCCAACCATCAGTGGTTATACAGTGTGAAATGTTCAATATCTACCTCAAACATCCATCCTTCACCAGATCTCAGTGGGAATGCCTAACACTGAAGCTCTGTATTATAAAAAAAAATACCACTAGGTCCACTGCAATATTTTCCTCTCTGTGTGTCATTGTAAAGTCTAGTGGTGGCATTCCATGTTGGCAGATGATTTTCCAGCATCACTGAGGTGAAAGGCAGCTGCCATTCTCCCCAGCAGGAGCTGGAGAAACCAGGGCTTATGTGTAAAGTGTGTCAGAGGTATCAGAGCCTCTGGGGCAGAAGAGGGAAGGGAATTGCATCACTGTAACGGGAACTTTGTCTGCTTGCCTGTCTGTCTGTCAGCATGGAGTTCTGAGTCAATAAATACTAGTCAAAATGCACACTTCCCACTGACCCACAGTCCCCTAGCTGTCTCTGGAGAAAATAAACAGGGATCTTGGGTGCTGAGCAGTTTTGCCTTCTTCAGAGCTTCCATTGTATTTGTATTTGAAGTTGTCAGCCAACAGCACTTGCCAGCATTAGTCTGGTAGTCCCAGGAATTTGAGATGATCCTTTCACTACAAAATGAAAGGCTCTTTACTGTTTTCAAATCCAACAAAGGAGCGTTCTTTCGCACATGTCGAGGAGTCAGGATGGGATGGGATGGGTGATGTAATTCCTCTCACTTTTAGCTGAAGTTACCAGCTCATTGTGACTCTCCATCCTAAGCATTCACAATGGCAAGAAGTTTTAGTGATTCTGTGGGTGGTGCTCTTCCTCTGAATCAGAACTGAATATAATCATAGAATCATAAAATGTATAAAGCCGTACCTCACATGGTCATCAAGTGCCATCCCCTGCATTCATGGCGGGACCCAGCACCATCTTCTAGACCAAAGATGGGCAATAATTTTTGCCGGGGGGCTACTTAATGAATTTGGTATGTGGTCATGGGCCGGCTCCATCCCACCCCTAATCCTGGAAAGGGCAGGACCTGGAGAGGAATGGACAGGGCTGGAGACTAATCTCCTCATAGAGTTGTCTGGGGCCAGAGGCTTTGAACTGAAAACACAGCAAAGGGCTCGTGGCTCTGGCCCCTGCTGCTACCGTGTTGCCTGGCAGCCACCGGGGATTACCGTGGCTATTTAAAAGGCTCATGGCTCCGGCCCCTGTCACGGTAGCACCATAACGGGAAGCCATGAACCATTTAAATAGGATCCTGCTGCGAAGCCATTTCCTGAGAATTCAGTGGCCCAGGCAGAAGAATATAAATAGGAAGTGGCCAGATGCAGCCTGTGGGCTGCATCAAAGTGTTAGTTGGGCTGCATCTGGGCCCCCCAGCTACATCTTACCCAGCCCTGATCTAGACAGGTATTCGTCTAACCTACTCTTAAAAATCTCCAGTGATGGAGAGTCCACAACCTCCCTCAGGCAATTTATTCCAGTTTTAATCACCCTGACAGGAACTTTTTCCTAATGTCCAACTTAAACCTCCCTTGCTGCAATTTAAGCCCATTGCTTCTTGTCCTATCCTCAGAGGTTAAGGAGAACAATTTTTCTCCCTTCTCCTTGTAATAACCTTTTAGATACTTGAAAGTTTATATATGTCCCCTCTCAGTCCTCTCCTAGATCATATTTTCTATAACTTTAATCATTTGTATTGCTCTTTGGATCTTCTACAATTTATCTACCACTTTCCTGAAATATGGCCCCAGAACTGGACACAATTGGACAGAATTGGCATCCAGTTGAGGCCTAATAAGCACAGAGTAGAGCAGAAGAATTATGTCTCTTGCTTACAACACTCCTGTTAATATATCCCATACTGATGTTAGCTATTTTGCAACAGTCACACACAGAATTGTAGTTAGCTTATAGTCCACTGTGGCCTCTAAAAACCTTTCCCCAGTACTCCTTCTGAGGCAGTCATTTCCCATTTGTAAGTATGCAGCTGACTGCTCCTTCCTAAGTGAAGTACTTTGAATTTGTCTTTATTGAACGTCATCCTATTTACTTTAGACCATTTCTCTAGTTTGTCCAGATCGTTTTGAATTTTAACCCTATCCTCCAAAGCACTTGTAACCCCTCCCATCCTGATCTCACCCTAAAACTTAATGGCTGTGTCTAGACTGCATCCCTTTTCCATAAAAGGGATGCAAATTAGACACAGCACAATTGCAAATGAAGTGAGGATTTAAATCTTCCCCACTTCATTGCATAAACATGGCTGCCGCTTTTTTCCGGCTTGGGGCTTTGCCGGCAAAAAGCGCCAGTCTAGACGGGGATTTTTCGGAAAATAAAGCCTTTTCAGAAAGATCCCTTATTCCTCTTAAAATCAGGAATAAGGGATCTTTCGGAAAAGGCTTTATTTTCTGAAAGATCCCCGTCTAGACTGGCGCTTTTTGCTGGCAAAGCCCTGAGCCGGAAAAAAGCGGCAGCCGTGTTTATGCAAATAAAGTGGGGAAGATTTAAATCCCCGCTTCATTTGCAATTGCGCTGTGTCTAATTTGCATCCCTTTTACGGAAAAGGGATGCAGTCTAGACACAGCCAATAAGAATGCTCTCTTTGCCATTATCTAAATCATTGACAAAGATAATTAACAGAACCAGTTCCAAAATGTATCCCTGTGGAACGCCACTCATTATGCATTTGCAGCATAACCGTGAATCATTGATTATCACTCTCTGCAAATGGTTATCCGACCAGTGATGCACCCATATTATAGTAGCTCCATCTAGGTTTTATTTCCTTAGTCTGTTAATAAGAAGCTAAAATCTAGATAAATCACATCTTCCACTTCCCTCTTATCCACAAGGCTTGTTATCCTGTCAAAGAAAGCTATCGGGTTGGTTTGACACGATTTTTTCTTTAAAAATCCATGTTGTTACTTGACACCCTATTAGCACATAGGTTTTGCAAATGGATTCCTTAATTGCTCCATTATTTTTCCTGGTACAGAAGTTAA